GCAGCAGCATAAGCTGGACACGTCGAGCAGCGTGTGGGTTTGGATAGCACGGTTCCTGCCGCAGTGCCTGCCTTGTGAATGCAGACCTTTGCCCTTTGTAGGATTGGAGGGTCCAACCTCAGAGCACCCTCAAAGTCAATTTGCCTGCACCCATCTACAAGTATATGAAACTGCCTTTCAAGCAGCAGATGTAATTCCCATCTCTCCACACAGAGCAAATGTTGGGATTGCTGACCAGCAGTTTTTGGGAACAGTGGCGGGACTTGGCTGTCTGCTCTGCCCTTCTCTCTGGTGCCCACGGGGTGTCCGTGGGCTTTGGCTTTTGGTTGTGGGCTGCAGACTACAGCGGCCTTGCAGATACAGCTCAGCAGAGCGCTGCATCGTTGCTCCCAGCCTCAAACGCTGTGGAGCTGAAAATGGTTGTAGCAAAGTGCAAGGTTGTAGAAGACGGCAGCAGCGAGAGAGAGAAAGCTTCACTGAAGTCACTCAGGGAGTAAAGGCAGAGCTGGGAATTGGTCAGTGCTTCAAAACATCCTGTCGTGCAGTTCTCATGCGCTGGCCTCTTTACTCTTCACATTTCCTATCAAAGTGCAGGATGATCCTTTTTAGCCAGGAGAGCGGGGATTATAAATATCATCGCAGATGAGTAAATCCTTCACTAGAGTGCAATTTCCTTTCTAAATCACAGCCCTTTGTGTTGAGCACCCTGTAATCATCAGGAAGTGTTTGGATAAAAGAGCAAATGCAGTTGTTTTCATACCCTCTGCCCTGTCATTTTAGCACTATTTGAAGAGGATTTTAGCAGGTAAATACTTTCACATTGCAGTCAACTTTAGCATGCACAAGCTTTTCTGTTTTCTCCTCACTATAATTAACCTGAGACAGAAATAACTGCAGTATACTATAAAGAAACACACATTTGAAGCTTCCCAGAGCTCATTATAGATAGTGAGGAGGATATTTAATGGGACGCAACAGTAGTAGAGTGTCTACGTATTTAATTTAAGTGCCCTTCACTTACCATTATAGAGATATCAATGCAATGCGTGGTGCAGACTTTAGCTCAGGATGTGCTTTGAGCATCTCAAGGGGCTATCATCCACCACCTGCCTTGGGTGGACAGCACAGGCTTGGAATGCCTGTCCTGCCGGAACCCAGTCAGAGCAGAATGACTTGGAGCAGCCAAGCTCTAGGCACCTCTTTCTTATCACTGCAGAGAGCAAGACATGTCTAAGTGTTTGTGCCCATGGAAGTAGATGCTCCAGCTGTCTGGAAACAAAGGTAGTTCCTGCTCCAGGCTGTGGCTGGTGGAGCTGGGCAGAGGTCCCAGGAGGAAACCCTGTGGGCTCCAAGCTGAATCCCAGGGCATGTCTGGAGATGCTGAACCCAGGGCTGTTTCTGTTGGCAGCTCTCTCTGGAAGAGGTGAGGGCCAGAACAGACGCTCTCCGTCTGCACGACGCCCTGCTGGTCCACGCTCCAGGGGCGGGTGATACCAATACTGGGCCTTCTGCACCTGGGTGGGTCTGGACCTTCATGGCGTGCCTTCACCCTCAGGCCAGACACCCAACCAGGGTGGAGCATCCTCCTTCCTTTCTGCTGGTGCTGAACCTCTGTCAAGGAGCCAGGGAGAGGATGAGCAAGAGAGGATCTCATGGGGCAGATTCCTGGACAGGGGCAGGGAGTCCCGTCTGCTGGTCCTGCTCCAAGAGCTGCTGAGGCACTTCCAGTTAGGAACCACTGGCTGAAGTGAAAGACTCACTAGCAGTACTCACGACCTTCTAGGTGGTTCAAGGGCCAGCCGGTAGCCAAATGGTCTTTTAGGTCAGCCACCGCCTTCTCAGGGGGTGCAGCTCAGTCAAAAGATCATGGTGTGATACATCAGCAAGGTCAAGCAGGAGAGAATCGGTGAAAAGGGAATCAACATTTTTCCAGGCCAAAATATCTGAAATAATGAGCGAGGAGGAATGCAAAGGGGAGTGGGTAGTAGCCAGGATGGCTGAGAGCATTGCATACCTCCGCCAGCGAAGGCTTAGGCTGCAGGTCTAGAATAGCCCATGGGAAGAATAAAAAAGCTGTTAAGCAGAGGTGTGGAGCTGGGAGCAGAAACAGGCCTGGGTTCATCTGGTGAGTGAAGCGAAAGGCCAAGTCCTCGGCCAAACCAGGGTTTGGTGATGGCTTCCAGAGCAGGGGGATGCTCCCGGGGGGGTTCGCAGACAGGCGATGCGTACCGGGAGCCCTGGCTGGGGACAGGGGCAGCAGCAGAGGCCGAATTACAATTAGCAGTTGTAACCCACCCTGAAAGCATTTTGTTATTTCTGTAGTATTTGCGCAAGGATTGTTTCTTGTTTATTTTCTCTCTCCGTTTGTTTCAAGTTAAATTTTCTGCTCCTTTTTTTTTTTTTTTAAATCTTGCTAGTAGCCCAGCTAAACAGTCATCTCCGTAACTGAATTTAATCTTCTAATCTGCTCTGACTCCACTTGATGGAAATGAGTTTGTTTTAAATAGCTGAAGCAAGATAATAAAGGAAAGGGGGGGAAAAAAAATCCAAAGTGCCTGTCACTTGCAGAATTTACTCGGTGTTTGAAGAGAGCTCTAGGTAAATCCTGGAGAAAGTAAACTCTCTTAAAATATATACTGATCAGTCTGCAGTTGAACAGGCTACTTTTGTCTCGCTCTAGTGTCTGCATCTCAAAAAAAAAAAAACCCTGACCTGAAAAACTGAAGCAGGTTTATGAAAGACCTGTGAGAATGATTTGAAGCCTGCAACACTTGCCAGCTAGCAAGCTGGATTAAGAAATTCATTCTAATTAATTCAGCAGAGAGCAGGTTGAGAGACAGCTTGCTCACCGTTTTGGGTAGCTTCATAGTGAAGGACTCTGGATCTGGTCACACCTGTAATAATCAGACTAGAAAAGTTGGAAGCTAGACAAATTCAAGGTAGAAACAAAATTGAAGTTTACCATGACAATAAATTTTGGTGGTTTTGGTGTTATTTTGGTGTTTCCTATGGCATTTCAAGTTCTAAAGCGAAAGCGAGCACTCTGAACTGAGTTGTGCAGTCCCTCAGCTGCCCAAAGCCAACATCTTACCTGACGAGCCTGTGGTTTCCTAAGGATTAAGGATAGCTCTGCTAAAGGTGTAGATTACAAATAGACGGATCTGAGTGTAGATACAACTCTAAGTCTGTTCATGGAGCAAGTCCCTCCTGAGTTACCACCAGGCCAGACCCCAGCGGGTGCAGGCGGCTGCTGCCACACCGCGTTGCAGCAGTCTGGGAATATCCACAGGGATTGTGTAGTGCTATCCCGTAGCTAAAGACCTGCTTCTCCTCAGAACTTTACTCCAATCTGCAAAGAGAAATTCAAACCAAAACCAGATTTTTTTATTGTTTTTTTTTCCTTCTTATTCATCTCTTCCATCCTGTTTCAACAGGGATATAAAGGCTACCCTGGACCACCAGGTCACCCTGGAGAGCAGGTGAGTCTTCCCAGTTTCCAACACTGAACCTTTAAAGAGGGGATGGATTTGCTGACTCTGATGCTAGTTTGGATCCTGGACAGCCTGCTCCGTGTGGACAGCCAGCTCCTTGGTACACACAGGGGATGCGCAGTGAGCTCCCGTCCCGCCGGCACCTGGGCACATACGCTGACCGAGCATCAGCAGGTTGCTGGGAGGAGACTGCCTTGGAGTTTCTAAATTTAATTTCTAATTCTTATTGCTCAACCATGTTAAGTTTACATGGTAGAAGAAATACCAGCTTACCCTAGTCCCCCTTTATTTTTCCTTTTACATTAATTTCACCTGGAGTTTACTAACCACATCGGATTAAGTACTAACATGTAATTCCCCTCCCAAAGCCCATTCCCCCTCTCCCCTTTTCTCCCCCCTCTTTATTTGGTTAAGTCTGATGTTTGCAGTTCAAGGAAAAAAAAAGGCAATGAATAGCAGGCCCTGTTAGCAATGATGTTAAAGGATATTATACATGAAGCCATTTAGTTCTGAAGAATTTTGGCAGTGCTTCCCCACCAGTAAAACGGTTCCATATGCCAGATATAGATGCAGCCTTACACCTTCTCTTAGCCTCCTTGTTTCAAACTATCTGCTGCTTTCACTGCAGGTGGAGGGAGAAGGAGAAATAGCAACACTTGCTCAATGCATGGATCCTATTGACTTGGCTTCTGCGTGTTTTCCCCCCTCATTAATTTATTCCACTGTCTACCCTTAATATTTTCTTCCTCTCTATAAATTTGCTTCAGGTTAATCCATTCCACCCTCCTTTCCCCCCCCAGCTCAAAGAACGAGGCAGGTAAAAAGCCTTCCCAAGCGTGACATTCACCTTACCGTCTGTGCCTTGTCTTTTTTCTTTCCAAAGGGCGAACGAGGACCAGATGGAAGTCCAGGTGCCAAAGGTTATCCTGGCAGGCAGGTGCAGTAAATCTCATCGTGCTGTGCACAGACTAGGGATTTGGGTGTGCAGGTAGCTAAATATATGCCCTGCTAAATACGTGTCCCACTAAAGACAGTGCAGACCTCTAGAACATGTCTGAATATTTTCCCTCTTCCCTCCCCAAGATGCTCTATCAATGACACGGTCTTTCAGCTCTGGGGGACACTAAGGTTGTTAGAAAGTATTTTATGCCTATGATAGATAAAACCTGAATTTCTATAGCAAAATCTGACAATTTTTTGCTTCAATATAACAACAGAGCAGAGAAACATACCTGCAAGCTGCTAACTCTCCACTTTTAGGTCTATTTTACATCTAATGTTGAACAGGTTACAAATCTGGGACAGAAGGCAGCATATTACTGAAATAAGATATTTAAATGAACTCTCATTAGTAAAATTCACTAGCATTATCATATATATACACATACATATAAATTATACATGGACTTTCTAAATCATATTTGCAGCTGCGAAAAAAGATGATGAAAGAAAGCCAAGTCTTTGTTTTCATTCTGAAAAAAAATTGCACAAAGAGAACTTTAGGAATGGAGGGGTGTGCAAAGGAAAATGGATCAAAATTGGAGACTTTATTGTCTTATGTTAAGATGCTGAGTAGTACTAAGGAAGAAAAGTAAGAGGAATAATTTGTAAGACTTGAAATGGAATCTGTTGGAGGGCAGAAGACCTGGCCCTGTAACATTTTACAGGGAAATGAGTTTGTTGTGGTTTTCTAAAATGGCCACATTAATGCTGGCTCCCCCCACATTTATATTCAAGTGCATAGGTAAGAGGCCAGGCGGCTGTCAAAGACCCCCAGCAGTCTGCCGTGAGCGTTTCAGACTTGTCATGAGTTCATATGCAAGTTTTTACCCAGATGTGTAGGTTATTGGACTAAATGTGAACTAGATATGCCGAACAAGTCTGCATTCCCCCTGCCTCGGACGATTTTAAATTTGAAATTAAATTGATACCTCGCTTAGCAAATTTTAGGTGGAATATACAGATGCACGCTGGAGAGTGCAGATGGTGGAACTGGATGAGGGTTTTATGCACCTGACTAAATGCTCCATTCATACTCTGAAAGGCTCTTAGAGATCTGCATGCCAAAGAATCTCCTAGGTGTGAGTGTGTGTTCGATGACTAACATGAAGCTGTCCGAGCTATATTGGACATACAAGGTTAATGAATGCTGTTTAGCAATTCACAGCAGTGTTCTGCCCATCAGATAAGCAGGGTGAAATCTTTGTGGTTGACATACGAAGAACAAAAGCGCTTTCTTAAAATGTGGTTTGGGTCAGGAAAGTGACTTTTTTTCCCCCTTTTTTTTTTTTTTAAAAAAAAAAAAAAACAGCTTTTTTGAGCATATCTGAATGCTGTGTGTATCCAGAATCAGAGCTGTTTACTTTACTGAGATTTTACTACTTGTTACTCCTGTCAGCTGTGCTGGCTCTGCAGCGCTATGGGAGAGAGAGCTTGGCTCTGTTTCGATTTGCGCATCATAGGCAGAATTGTTAACTTCACCCCGATGGCTGAAATCTTTGGATACGATGCATAAGCCAGGAAAGAGCACAACCTGACTTTCGGATCCCAGGCTGCGTGTGCAGTGCTGCCAGCTAAAGAAAATAGGGACTTAGTCTTTTCTTTTTTTTCTGCCCCCCTTCCAAAAAAGCCCAACAACATTTGTAACTAGAGAAAATTGATGTGGAAACTCGCTAGAAGACAATAAACATGAAAATTCATTATGAATTTTTACAGGGTTCTTTTTCACAGAATTTTAAGTGAGCAGCAATAGGCATAGAAGTAGAATGGGGAATGTATTTTCAATTCTTTACCTAGCTGTTGATGCTGCAAAGGGTTGGAGATACTGCAGTACCTGCACTGCTCAGTGACTTCCTAGGCTGTAGAAATTAGAGGGGCTTTCTCATTGCATCAGGGCCAGCCTGCGTTCCCTAAACAGGTATTGAAATACATTGCTCATTCGCTATGCATGTGTTCAGTTAGGCAGGAAAATGAATCGAGAGCCGCCGGGTACAGAGCATCACTGTACATGGCATCTGAAGTGTAACGCAACCTCAGTGCACCCTGCTGCGTTGGTCGTTTTGGTCTTTATGATCAGAAATCTCTACTTCAACCCCGGGGAAGGCTCACTATGTGCAGCAGTCTCAGGTTCTGCAGAGTCCCAGCTCCCCAACAATGGGAGATTTGTTATTTGTATCATTTTGTCCTTTCTTCTCCTTTGTTGATACGCCTTGGACTCGGCACTGAAAGCAGAACCACGCAGGGACGGTGCTGGGGACTTGGCACTGCTCGTTAGGTTGAGTTAAAGCCTGTCCACATTTGTCTTTGTTTTTTCCCTTCTGTTCTAGGGTTTACCTGGCCCCATAGGGGAAGCTGGTCCAAAAGGCAGTCGGGTAAGCAGCCTTTCGTTTGTTTTTTCTGTACTTGTTTTTACCAAAGGCTTCTCAAGAAACTTTATGCTTAATTTTGCAATCCTGAGACTAGTTCCTTTAATTTCTTGGATTCAGGGGATTTGAACTGCGTACCGCTTGTTTATTGAAGCACTGCTAAATTTTTTAAATTAAACATGGAATGTACTAAGATCAAAGTTCACCAGTAGTGCTGATGATACAAACTCAACCCCTTCAGAGCTTGCATTGTAGGAGAGGAAAGAATGGCATACAAATGCCTACCAAAGACCAAAGCCTGGACTTTCTGCAAGCCCCATCTCCCAAAGGCCTCTTTAGTTTCAATAAGTGTGGTTCAGCGGTCTTTGACCATGCTAAATATGGGCTCTTTTGGGTATAGTCCTGGGTTTGGGAGTGATTTATATCATTATGCAGCATAGCAAGCCAGCATCTTGAAGCCATGTGCAAATACAAACATTAATATCTCTGTTCTGCCTGGGTTTGCTCACCAAATTGAATTGCTGGGGGTTCATTCTCACTGCAAAGGATTTTTTTCTATTTTTACCACCAATTAAGGCTCTCGTTAATCTCATTTTGCTCTTTTCCTGCAATTATAAATTCAGAATGAGATTCAGAGCCAATAAAATCCCTCCTTTCTCTAACACGTGATACTTTCTCTAAATGCCGTAAATTCAACCAGCTGGCTTTCATCACTAGGAAAACTTCAAGGAATAAACAAATGCTGACCCTGTAGCTAGCTGTTTTCCCGAGCTGGGAAGGGAGATGGCATGTTGAATGTTCTGCAGGAGAGAGGAAGATCTGAGATAGCACAGCGTGCTCACCTCACTTCTGCAAGTGCTGAAGTTTGCCCTGGTGCATCTGTTTCACTGGCCTAACCAGGACCTCGCGTAATTATCACATGATAGGTGTGCAGCATGTAAAACTTGAAAATTACTTTCTGCTTTGCACCCTTGAGTGCTGAGGACTGAAATATTTATAGCTACCCAAGAAAGCCATTTCTCAGTTCAACTGCAGTCAATCAGAATGGGGTACTAAGGTGAGATATCTGCATTTTGTGGGTTGAGGGAGCCAGCTGTGAACTCTCCTCCACCCCCCCACATCTATTTTTTTCTTCTGCAGGAGGTAGTTAGGCAGTTACATGGTTTGTCATGAGGTTCAGGAGGAAAAGGCAGACAATACCACGTTAACGTGGCTGTATTTCCCGGCTAGGTGTCATCTCTAAAGGGAGCAATGGACTGGTGAAAAAATTTGGTGGGGTTGACGCTAAGAGATTTAGTGATGATGGGGAAAGAAAGATGAGAGAAAATCAGTGTTAACACTTGGCTCTTGTAACACCGAGGTGCCACTGAGGGGGCTCCCTGCTGAAATTCACTTCCTCTTGATTCTGCATGTTTGGCACAAATTAGTCTTTTGCAAAGGACCAGCACACAAGGTAACTTTGTACTAACTGCTGAGCAAAGAGGATTAAACACAAGGCTTCGATTGTTGCAAAGGAAGGGAAGTGGAGCATTTGTGTCCTGTCTGAGCAGGATCCCAAGGCCGTAGAGAAACGTCCCATACTAGAAAATGCGATGCCTGCCGAGGACTGTGAAAGGAGCAGATTTTATGTGAAACGCGTTGGTGCAAAAGAGGCTTCTTTGCAGTTGGGTGTCAGAGGATCTGTACGTATGTGCAAGTTGAGCCTTGGACACCAATCCTAAGAGCCTGACCTGGCACGCTCAGCCTCTCCCTGCCCCGGCACAGCCCTTGATGCTCGGGTTGGCAAAGTGTTTGCAAAAGGTCTTGGTGGTGCAACAGAGTTTGGAGAACCATTTCTGATTTGCTCCCCTCTCAGCAAAGGGGTGGTGAGCAAGTTTGCAGGCCAGGGGAAGGTGATGTTTGCATGAGAAGGAGCCTCGGTGTGCAACTGCTGTGTGACATAAACAGAGAGGGATTGGTACAACAGGCCATTTTCACAACAGAGTTGGGAATGAGAGCCAGAGGCAAAGAAAGAGCCCTTGGAGAGATGAAAGGAGATGTAGGCATGTGCATTACTTTTGCTGTCACTCTTGCTAACCTTGAACCAAGTTCCGTTTCCCTCAGGTACACTCAGAGCCAGCCCAGGTAAGGTTTCTTCTTGCTGGCCTTTTCCTGCCCGGAGTCCTCATGATCCCTGGTGTGAGGGTATGTGCCCTTGGACTACATCGTGGAAGCCAGCACCATGCAGTCCATGGGCATATACACTTGCCTCAAGGTTTATTTCATCACGGCTGCCATTGACCAACGCTGGAGGATGCTCTGCTCTTCAGGAAAGACAGACTGAGTGACTGCTAATGGAGAAATGTAGTTGACTACTTGTTTCCTCTTTTCTTTAGGGATATATTGGTCTCCCAGGATTATTTGGACTACCAGGAGCTGATGGAGAACGAGTGAGTATTTTGTGAAGATGACCTTGATGTGTTGTTTTTTTAATACAGTTCTTCAGAGCCTGTTGTAACCTTCTCTATCCCTTGTTCCTGAGGAAAGTGGCGAGCATGTCTAATGTTTAACCATGCCTTCTCGAACCTGTTTCTGCCCTTGCATGAAGACCCGTGTCCCTGTATGATGTTGATATGCAGCTCAGGAAAATCTAGGCTTCAGACAGGGTCATCAGACCTCACTGTTGAGTAGGGAGTTTTTGTGTATTTTCCTTCACTTGCCTTCCTCCTCCCCCTTAACAGTTCACCTTAATGGGATGGGGCTGGGGGGAGAATGTACGTGGAAATTCCCTGCTCCCGCAGGAGTGACTTCCCAGCCACAGTGTCCCAGCGTTTTGGGTGTCCAACTGGAGGTGTCTGGAAAGAGCCTGGCTCGTGGAAGGGACTTTCTGACAATGGCTTGTATTCCAGTTGCATCGAGCTGGGCAGTCAAGACTGGGGCCTGTGGACGGGCAGCTGTGGGTGCTGTTCCCGTGTGTCCCTCCTTCTCCCCATCCTTTTCATTGTGCCTTCTCCAAACCCATGTGTTCAGAGCTTTGCAGGACCTCCCTTGCTTTTTGCTCTTCTCCCCTGCGTCCCCCCACCTGCCTGAACTCTACCCATCCAAGGACCCCTTCTTCCCGCTGCAAGAGCTCCTAAGGAAGGTCGCTGTAAGATGAAGACTGTTTTATTCCAGCTTTTTCTCCCTCAAATGCAAGCTCCAGAAACAAGGGAGGCCCCGGGAGCGTGTGGGAGTGAGTGTGCCTGCCTGGGAGGGGACTGCCCTGCGCTCTAGAGTCACTGATTTAATGCTTGTATAACTAAATAAGAAACATAAACAGAAGTTCTCCAGCGAGTGCCTTGGCGGTGGCCTTCATTCAGTTCCAGACCAGTAGCTTAATGACTGCCCCTGCTAAGCACAGCTTCAGCCTGTTGCCCTGGGTGTGGATGCTGCCTGCGTGTGTCCTCAGGGAGGGCCGTAGTTAGTGGGTGAAGGTTAATTGTCTTCTGCTCTCGCAGCTGACTGCAAGTAGCTGACATTTTGATTCCTGAACAATGCCACAGTCATTAGCCTGTTTTGCATTCCCCTTTCTCTTCTAGTTTTGTTTTGTATTGTTGGTTGGCTGTTTGCTTTCTCAACCAGACCTATTTTTTTTTTTTTTCTCTGTGTGTTTTCCTTGCAGGGGATCCCTGGAGTTCCTGGGAAGAGGGGCAAGATGGGTAGGCCGGTAAAGTTTTTCCTCGTCTATTATGCAGACCTTGTTGAATGAAACTGGAAACAAAACATCTGGCTTTTGGCTGGGTCCCTTCGTATCTTTTGATGGGAACTAAATGGGGAGATCAAACAGACCTTTCCATGTCTCTTCTCAAGCAGGAAGAAAACTGAAGCTATAAATATTGTTTTCTTCCTGTTTTTCACGCTCTGCCCACTTCACAGGCATTTTTGTTCTTTTTCGCACAGTCTCCATGCTCCCTTGGATCCTACACTTCTCAGATTCTCTTCTGCAATGTCCTCCCTCTGGCCAGCCTCTTCCCTGAATGCACTTTTTGATTCCCTGCCATGATTGCAGCATCCCTGGTGTCTGCGCTCGCTCCGTCACATTTACTGCTCTGTGCTCCATCACCTCTGCTTCTCTTTTGCTGTGATTCTCTCCAACCCTTGTACCATCCCGGTTTGTATAATACAAGTGCGCTTTTGTATAGAAACCTTTTTGTCCTTGGTGGTGGTACAGAGTTAAAGCAGCAACAGGTCAGATGAAGACATGGTTGAGGGGCAAGGAGACCAGGTGGGTTGGAGAGCTTGGCCAGGAGGAAGAGGTGTTTGTAGGTAGGGCTGAATAGAAGGTGGAAACTGTGAGAGCTGCGTAGAAGAAGGGGGATTGTGCTGACTGTAGCAAAAAGCAAAATAGAAGCAGGTGGGGAACGTACTGAAATGAGTAGAGGAAGCAGAGAAAGGGCACGAAGGAAAGCCTTTCCCACATCAGCCTCCTTCCAAGCACTTCTGCGGGCTTCCTTTAGCAAAGTGTATACAGGTCCAGGAGCCAGCGATCAGGCACATTTGTACTCTGGTGTGTCTCATTGCTTTTGCACCTTGTCCTGCACGTTAGCCTGAGTTTCTCTCGATCTCCTGACATCATTGCTCTCACAGGCTCCTTGTAAAATGTCCACTCACCCACACACGGAAAAATCCAGCGCTTTCCCCTTGTCACCCTTGCATGTGAACGCGTGCTTTTCAGGAGTCCCACGCCTACCGCTCGCTGGTGTTCTCACAGTCAAAGCCACGCAAACATCTGACAGTGCCACATTCATCCCGGCTGGCTGTTCTGTCCCTGGGATGGGAGGGAGGTTGAGCAGATTATTTTGAGGGGGGGTGGTAGAAATCTGTACCAGATCTTATGGTTTTGTAAGCCGCTGGTTGCACCAGAAATCTCCGTGATGAATAATTGCAGAGCCAGTTGATGTAACGATGACTCATTGACCAGAGTAAAACAAACAAAGCAACTGTCGTTAGGTACAGGGTTTCTGCTCTCTGCCTTGTTACTGCACAGAGTATGCTGGAGGCTCAAAGCGTTCCAGCTGTTGTTTGGCTAGCATTTGTAATCTTCCAGGCAAGAGTTCTTGTCTGGCGGTCACTGTTACAAACAAGGGGCTCCCCTGAGATCAGCAGGGAATCTCTCAACCGTGGAGGCATTTAGGCTGGGATCTAGAGAAGGGATTAAACGGCTGCGCGTGAGCACCTTTGTTCTACTCGGCTCTTTCAGAGAGTTTTGGCTCCATCCCCGCTTCATGATACCGGTTTTAATAAGAAATCTTGAATGGACTGATGCTGATGATTTGTACTTCCGAGCGTGAACAAAAAGATTAAGTGACATCCAGAGTTATTCAGGAAGTCACTGGGAGAATGGAAAGTAGGAACCAGCTGACCTGGTTCCCTTCCCAACACTTATCTCCTGGCCTCTGCTGTCTCCCAGCCGGTTTGCAGTGGTAGTGAGCCTGCTGTGATTTTTCTGGTCTCTCGCATCCCCATGCTGCTAGGTTTGCTGGCACGGCTACTGTTCCTGTTCTGTTTCAATGTTGTCATTGCAATGGAGAGCTCTTGGAAGCCCTTGTTAGCTACCATCCAAAGCTGGTAAATGCTCTGCAGAGAGGGAAGGAGTTGGTATCAAATATATTTCTACCTAGTTTTGTTCGGGATGAGAGACAGCAACGGATTAAGTGTTCAGCAGAGGAGGAGCGGGGTTCTGGGGGAGTTTGCATGTGACACCGTGGGCCTCCGAGAATGATGTAAGAGGGAATGATTAAAATAGAAGAGCTGGACATGAGTCAGATCTTGAAACCCTTCCAGGGAAGTTAATTTTTGCAGAGCTGTGAGGGACACGGTGAATCTGTCGTGGAAACAGCTGACTCCACCTCCCGCTCTGCTCTCCCTGCAGTGCATCAGTGACATAGGAGGCAAGTGCATTTCTAACGTATGGACCCTGGGGAACTCTTGAGCAGGGAGAGGGTTGGGGCGGGCTAGAGGGAGAATTATGGTTAAAGCGTGGTGCACTAGGGAGGCTGAAATAACACGAGTCTGTACGTCTCTGGATCTGCTCCCTGGTTTAGTGGTAGGCTGGAGGCCTGGAGCTGAAGCGGCCAATTGCTTAAACCTTCAGTCTTGCCAATGCAGTGGCTGAGAAGAATGGCTTTTATGGTGTTTGTGGATTTTTATGGTGTTCAGTTGATTAGCTGGCAAAAAAAGAAAAAAAAAGGATCAAAAAAGCCCCATTGCTGTGAGGGCAGCAGGGCTGTGGTCTGCACCGAGCTGGGGGGAAGGAACGAGAGAAGCTGTTGTTACCCTTTATCTTGGCATGCAGAGGCAAGGTATCAGTCCTAGTTCATCTTTAGAAAGGAGGTGACCCACAGGAAGAGGAGATATAGCGAGGAGACAGCTTCCAGAAGCACAAAGCTGAAAGTGATAGGAATTTCTTATGGGAGATGGGTAGCTACAAGCAGAAATGTCTGCCCTGCAGATTATATTAAACTTCAAATAGAGTGTAATATTTTGAGACGATCTCAAGCCCTGTTGAAGAAAGAGACTTAAAGGCAAACTTTCAGGAAATATATCCAAAGAACTTTGAGCTCTTTTTTTTTCATCTTTGGTATTGATGTATGCTTGTATCTCTTTTTTCCCCATAAGAGTATCAATACTGCACTAGCTGCACTATTTATGTCTGATTTTTGCTTACAGTGTGTTTAATTAGTAGTATTACTTTAAAGGAGATAGAAAGGAAGGAGCAAAGTTTAGTTCCAAGACATACTTACTAATTCCTGGGTTTGTCTGAGGTCTGTTCACAATTTAGCCAAACACAGCTGTGATTTCCTTATATTCTTCTGAGAACCTGTTGGTGCTGCTGGTCCCATGCCTGGAGCTCAGTTGAACGCTCACAGCCTCGCCATGTCAGGTGCCATGCAAACACTTTGTGAAAGAGAAGCCCCAGCCCAAAGGGTCCGTCAGGTTGGATTACAGAGCAGCACAGCACCATCCCCAGGGCTGGGAGGTTTAGGTAACGGCAGCATGAGCTGATCATTAATGCCACAAGCAGGAGTTTTGGCTTCCCTGCCTGTCAAGCTGTGCTCATGGTTACTGTTCTGGGTTTTGGTTTTTTTTTTTTGGCCTCCTGTAGCTTGTGTTTGTGAGCGATACGCAGCTGTGTCCCACCAGCTGTCGGGTGCTGTGATGGGGGTTTCTGTCCACCGGCCAACCCCAGGCCAGGGAGGCAAACGCCTCCTGACAGCACAGGCTCTGCCATCAGGCTTTGTGCAGCCTTTGGCAAGTGCCAGCGCATTGCTGAAGTGCTGCTCCGAGGAGACGGCTTGACAGGTGGAGTAGACTGTGTAAGTAGCAGGCGCAGAGGGAGGGTTTGCACTCCTCGGGATGCTGACGCCTCTACCTGTGAGAATGGCTGGAGCCTGCCAAGGCAAGGTGGGGAGACGCTGCGTTGCTTGGTGACTGCACAGGAGGAGGAAGAGGGTACGGGACCTGGTTTCTCCCCATGGCATGCAACTTCAGACAAGTTGTTTGGGTGTTCTTGGCTGTGTGCAAGGCAGGGACGACACGCTCGGCAATCCTTTGAGCTCAGTAGCTGAAACTTAGCAGGTAAATGCCAAGGACTGCTGCTCAGGTGTCAAGGAAGAGGTGCTATAAAGTGGCATGTGGATTTTAAGTGTTGGGGATCAGTGCATAGGCGAGTCTAGAAGTCTCCCTTCCCTCTGCCTGCCAGCCACAGCGTGGGGGTTGAGAGAGCCAGCGGTGATCTGGCAGCCACTCTAACGTAGCCTCCGTATTTGCTGTGAGCGGCAAGCTGCCGAAGCTGGCGTCCGTTTGCCATGAGCTGACCACAGGCGGGGTCCCCCTTGCCAGCTCTCAGCTTGTAACGCGGCAGCGCCTTCTTGCCAGGTTGTTTTTTCACGTCTGCTGTCTTCTTCCATGTTGACGCATAAAATTAATGTGTTAACTCCTGCCTCTAGTGAACGCCAATAGATTCTTTTTTTCTTTATCTGCTAAGTTGTTAGAAGTGCATGCGATACCCCTGCACTCCCCACCGGTACGGGTAGCCTCTTGCAGCATAGGAAAAGGCATTGCCTTGTGGGAGACGCTAGATAGCAAAAAGCAGGGCTGCCTTTGAGTTAGGAACGTTTCGTTTTACAGCGTCCCTCAACCTTTTGATATACGGCTAAGATAACTTCGTGGTGAACGTAAGTGCACGGGGCTTTGCCAAGTTACACAGTCTCAGCTGTTGTCCATGCAAACAATGGGGAAAAATGTTTTGCCGTGTGTCTGGAAAGGCTGGCATAACCGCAAATTACTGAGAAAACAAATTTTGCTGCTCTCTGTAGGGACTAAGCCGATAAACAGCTCCTCTCTTCTTGCTCCAATCTTTTCTCTGCTTTGGATGCAGCTGAGGTCCTTCCTTGCCTTTGAAGTCAACCAGGCCAGAGTCTCCTGCACCACACAAATTGAGATTTGGGAAACCGGTAACAGCATTTTGAAGTAATTCTTCTTTAACTAATTCTTCTCTAATTGCCAAACTCCACTTGACTTGAATGGGCTCCCTGGGGATGCAAAGAGGCAGCACATGTGGCTTTTCTCGTAAGAAGCATGACTTAGGCAGACACCCTAAGAGCTCTCACCTACAGCACTGAATACCGTGCTTCACGTGGGCTGCTAAGGGTCCAGCCATGTCTC